TCGCTATGGTTGTTCCATCGCTGCCATCGCTATCACTATCGCTGCATTGTAACTCGTTTCATCGCTGCGCCATCGCTCTCCACCGGTGCGCCATCGCTCTCCAACTCAGCGCTAGCCATCGCTATCAAAGCCCTGGCCAGTGTTATCCCACCGCAGCGCTGCGCGATTTCTCTCTCCATCGCCACACGATCTCCCTCCATCATTGAGTGATCACTCTCCATCTCACTCCATCACTCTGCGATCTCTCTCGACCACCGGGCAACCTCCATCCTTGCCCCAGAGGCTCTCCATTACTCCTGCGTGATCCCGCCATCGCCATTGTATTGTTGTTTCAGGCCGTCGTCGGTGCAGCCGCCCATCACTGTGGAATCATACGAAACAAGTGACAGGTATGCTTAACGAAGGTTTAACTCGATGGAACTGATGTTGTGCAGTAACAAATCTTGGTCATCGCTGTGCCTTTTCTCTCCATCGCTGCGGCATCGCTAACCATTGTTGCGCTTCCTTTCTCCATCTCTCTCCACCAATGCACGATCTCTACCGACCTTTCATCATCTATCCCCATCGCTGCGGTATCTTACCTAATCTCATCTATCTCCTTCGGTGCGCTATCTTTCCTAATCTATCTCCTTCGTCATCTATCTCCATCGCTGCGCTATCTTTCCTAATCTATCTCCATCGTCATCTATCTACTGCAGTGCGCCATCTTTCTCAATTGTTGTGGTATCGCTAACCATCGCTGCGCCTGCTATCTCCATCGCTGCGCCATGTTTCTCCATCGTTGCGCAATCTCTCTCTCTCGCTGTGGCACATCTCCCAATCAGTTCGTGATCTCTTTCCCTTCCTGCGCCATCTACCTTCTTCCCCGGAATATACAACGCACTTTCATTATAGTTGTCTTTAGACTGAAAGATCACCCGAATTCAACTGTAATGACCGGACGTTGTATTCGGGGGAAGACTGTGACTCCATCCATCTCTCTTGGTGCGCCATCTCTCTCATTCGGTGCGTCATCTCTCTCCATGTATTTTCATCGATGCGCCGTCTGCCTATCGCTTCGCAATCTTTCTCCATCTTAAAAAATAGTACGCCATCTTTCCCTATTTCTCTCTTGCGACGATCTGTGGCTCGTACTACACGCAGAACAAGCCGGAAACAACTTGCACTTGTACCCGTAGTTTCGTAATGGAAATGCTCGTTTACAAGTGAAAATTCATTCGCTTTTGAACCAACCAACCCCTTAATTTGTTACTGTTTAGTCCATAGGTCATAATTAACTCGCACTTGTACCCCCAGTTTCGTAATGAAAATGTCCGTTTGCAAGTGCGAATTTATTCGCTCTTCAACCAACCATCCCCCTAAATTTCTTACTCTTTAGTCCATAAGTCCCAGTTTCATAGTGGAATGCTCGTTTGCAAGTGCGAATTTATTCGCTCTTCAACCAACCATCCCCCTAAATTTGTGGCTCTTTAGTCCATAAACCCCAGCTTCATAATGGAAATGCTCGTTTGCAAATGCGAATTTATTCGCTCTTCAACCAACCATCCCCCTCAATTTGTTCCTCTTTAAGCGATAAATCGCGTCTCTTCTCGACCCAAAAGAATGAAGTCCTTTTGTATTTGCGAGTTAACTCGCCACTGAACCAACCACGAAGGCAACAGATTCTTATTGCACGGCGCAATTGAAATGTTCCTCTGAAGTGCGATTTTTTTGGCACTTGAAATTTCTTGCTGTTTAGTGGATAATACCGAATTGACTCGCACTTGTGTTCACTCTTGTTCCAAC